ATGGAGACCCAGTCACCATAAGAGAAGACGATAGTTCGGACGGTTTCGAAGAATCTGCGACTGGGTCGGGTTGATGAGTTACTGGCAAGGAAGGGTCCGCGAAGAGGCTCTGATCCGTTTGAGCGTCGGAATTCGGCAGTTCCGATGCTTCAACGACAGAACCTGCTCCAGTCAGAAACCCCAAACCAGTAGTAAGTTGCGGGGCAGATTCATCCTGATTGCCTACCAGAGTTTTAGAAACAATCGGGGAATCAGAATGTACCTTGGAGGGTTGAGGGGTTTGATTCTCGGTCAGTGTCATGGCTGCATCATGAATATCATCGTGATCAAATTTGGCCGGCGTGGTATCTTCGAAAATTGCTACAGGTGTCGCTTTTGCTGCATGTTCTCGGGAATCGTCCGCGCTTGCATCTGGTTCAACTGGTGTATGTTGTATGTGTGTAGGTGGCGATGCGATAGCAATCAAGTTGCCATGATCCTGGACAAGATGCGAGCGAGGCGTAGAGGGTGTCTCCAGTGAGACACTGTTCGGTGAACTTGGGGTCACAGAAAACTCGCTACGAAGCGGAGAGTGACGGGGAATGCTCTCATTCGAATTCTTTCTCGAATGAGTTGGTATTGGTTTTGAATGCTGTCTGGTGTGCGTGTCGTGGGATCGCGTCTTAGAGATAACAAGTCGTTTGGGCCGATCTCTGGTTGTGCCAACAGGGTCAGCCCTGTCACGAGATCCGGTGCTGCTAACTGATTTCGAAGATGGTGTAGAAGATTTTGACTTGGTTGCGCTTGGAGAGCCGTCAAATCGATTGCCGTGTCTTGTGCTGGAGTCGGTTGCGACAGACCGGCGTGCAGCATATGGGTCCGCAGTTGCGGGACGATTGAGTTCAGGTCGGCGAGGTTTCGCCGCTGGTCGCACGGGCGCAGAAGAAAGTGAAGATAGAGAGGTGCCTGTTGGCACTGTCCGAACAGATGATTTGGAAGAGGATGGAGCCGAAGAATGTTTGTCGGACAGAGCCGACTGCGCGGATTCGGGGCGAGGAGGTGGCACGGCTTTCGCTGGTGCGAGCCGAGCTTTTTTCTGTGCGGCAATCGCTTCTTTCAAAGCAGAACGCCCTGCGAGAGAGGATGTACTGCTTGCCAGTCCCTTGCGCGAGGGGGCAGGATCCTTCGGGGCATTCTGGTGCGTATTGGGGTTGGCGGGGTCCTTTTCTAACAAAGAACGGGATTTGGGATCAAGATTTGAGAGGATACTTTTCGCAATTAGTCAGTGTAGCACATAATGCGAGACAGAGGGACGCTTACTCATTGGCTCTGTTGGGCCACACACGGTAATACGTCCAGAAAGTACTGCGCATCGCCTCTCTCACACCAGGGTTGGCGTCGCCAAGGCATTTCTTAACGCTTTTCTCAATCATATCCAACCCTCCGCCGTGTTCAATCGAACTCTTATGGTGACTTTGCCTTTGGATCAAGGTTTTGAGCCAACCAGCCGCAAAAAGGCGAAGCTGGACATTTTTATCCTGACAAGCTCCGGAAACGTGCTGCAGAATACGGGTGGTGAAAGTGACATTTTCGATCAGAGCATCGACCGTGGCGTTACCGTTTTGGGCACTAATCTTTTTCATACCGCTGCAGAGCTTGATCAGATTCTGCATCATGATTTCGACCATGGAGTCGATCCGAGGACCGCATCTCTTAGCAACGTCTTGGATGAGAAGGCAGCCGATGGTCGAGAGAGTCGTACGAAGTGAATTGACGACTTTGAATATGCCGTCCAATAATAATTTTAAACCGGCAAGGTAAGCTGGGGAATAATCGTCTGGCGCGTTGCCATGGGTGAGGCGCCTGAGGGTCAGAACATCTTTTTCCCGGCGGATCCAGTTATCCTCAGACTCCCGACCGTCGAAGTGTGGCATCATATCACGAAACATATCGTCGACTTGTCTTGACGATGAAACATAAAGGGCGTCGATCTTCTCACCTTCTTGTGAAGCAGGGCGAGAACTTGGCAGAGGCAACTCCTCCGCGGGGCCCGTGTGAGAGACAACAGCCCAGTTCGGCTCGCTTTTTGCAGTAGCAAGACGGCTCTTGGGGCGCTCCACTCCAATGACTGGGAAATGGCACAGGAGAGTCAGCATCGAACTCAGTTAAAGGTGGTGCGATGAGATGACCAAACTTACCTTCCTTTGTAACCTCCTTGTGAGTCTCAGAACGAGAAGACAAGACCGAGACTGGCCGAGGAGGCAAAGCCTCCGTGTGCGAAACAGAGGATTGTGCGAGCTCCATTCTGGAAGCCGGTCGTTGATGTGTATCCAGCCGGGAGACTGATCTGGAAGATTGTGTTTCCGCACGAGACACAGGACGATGAACAAGGGCTTCAGCTCGGGAAACAGGTCGTGAGGCCGCATCCATATCGGAAGTACCGTGCTCGATGCTTGCAAGAATTGCATTGACAAAAGATTTTCTAACATTGTGGGTAGCCATTTGTCTTTTCAAATCGGACTTGGCTCGTTCAGAGGCGTGTCTAGTCACCGTTAGTATGCGGAAAAGACATCCAAAAATAATGCAACTAGGAGGGCCACGGACTCAAACAGTTCAATAACAGTGTTCTTGGCCGTATTTCTCACGTTGCTGTCTGCATCCTCCAGACATGCAACGAGACTCGACACATACGAGCGAAACAAAAGACCGTAGTTCTTAGTCATCTGCAAGGGGATGGTCAGAAATGAAGAAAAGCCCCAAAGATTGAAAGGGGAGCTCACATTCGACAGCCAGATCATACTCATCTCTTTGGCTCTCGGGTTTTTGCCAACAAGCGCCTGTCCAAGAACACATTGCTCAACTTCTTCGGGGGCTGCCAGCCACATGTCGGTAAAGGATTGCGCAGCTTGAGCACGAATACGTTCTTTATGATCTCCTAGACGCTCTACAAGCAAAGGATACAGAGCGCGACATTGTAGTGCGACCAAATGATGCAGCTCCTGAATGAGTAGCCGCTTCAGAAAATGACCAAGTGTGGAGAAGCCGGCTCCGGACAGAGACGAGTGTTGGGACGCAATTGCCAGGCGTATGGACTCAAAAATCGATGGGACTGCCCCCTCCGGGACATTTTTCTGCTTGATGTCGGATTTGACGCATTGGAGATGGGCAACCTTGGTATCGACTGACATGTTGGAATTCTTCAACGCCGCCACCAACTCCGCCGCCTTGAGCTCCATCATGGAAATGATATTTTGGGCCTGGGCTTTGGTCACAACAAGAGGAACATAGAGGTAACAGAAGGTAAAGAAGTAGCACAGGAACTTGTGAGGGCTACAGGAAATGAATAGAGTGAGGACCAATGCAAGCGTGATACGGTCCCAGCCAGATGGGTTCAAGGAACCAACGGGCACTAATCTGCAAGACTCCATGACGAATGGTTAGCCAACAAGTTTCAGAGCTTCTGAAATAGAGAGCTTTTGGAATGAAAACGTAATGTTTGAGAAGGGTTGAAACGCAGTAGTAAACGCAGTGTTAATCGCAGTCGAAAAGCAATTGAATCGCTGTGGAACGGAGTAACTGTGATGGGGAAGAGAAAGAAAAGAAGAGGGTGGGCGATCGAGGGCGAGGGATATAGACTGTCAATAAGACGAAGACGAAGGAAGGTACACATACCTGGTCGAACGAGAAGCAGTCGCGAGGTCAAGGCCGTTGTCAATGAGTTAGGACGGAAAGCACTGAGGTACCGCTGGCGACGAGGAAGGAAGGTTGGAGGGAAATGAGGTAACGTCGGAGAGTCAAGTTGGATATGGAAAGCGGCGATGGAGAGGGGGGAGATGTCCGATAAGCGATTAGACGCGGCGATAAGCGCTTCGAAAGAATTCCACAGCGAGAGAGTCCAATGTGAATGTCGAATAATCGCAATGTATATATGCCGGGAAATTATAGGACAGTTGTCGCTGCAGAGAGTAGGTAACAGGAGTAGCGGAGCACGCTTGTCGCGAGGGAATAACTTGGTCTTGATTGCCTTTTTTCGCTTTGTTTACCCGCTGGTCGCAGGAGCCATGGTTACGGCGAGGGAGACCGAGTGGGGGGAAAACAACTTCCTGCTTTTGGTGAGCCGATGCTGCCCAACTGCATTGGTTCGGGCGAGGATTGAACATACCTGGGATAATAATGTACGAATGCGATTCTCAATTGATGAGGTGGATCGAGGAGAGGTAATGTGTAGCTGATAAGATAAATGGAAAGGAGGAAGAAAGGGGTGAGCTAGGGATTTTTTTCCTGTCGCAGAAACAGAAATGTTCTATGTCAACAAGTGGCCCCTCCCGGTCTAGTGCAGATATATATCCACACCAGGTGCAGCGAAGGATCATTGAAATTCTGCTTAGCTCTACATTTCTACTCACAACGTGAATAATCACAATAATGGATCTATATTTCTGAAAACACCTCCAATATTATTGAATGAGATTCGGTGTTTGACTATGTAACTCGTAAAGTCCGCAAATGATAGTCTACTCCTAGCAGGTAACTCGACGTCATGTCCGAGGTAGTCAACTCCGCGCGATCGCCCCTCCAACAGGTGGATCTTTTCAATGAAAGACACTAGGACCATGAACATGCGGAGACTGGAATTGTTGACTCGAGGGTTGGTTGGTTGACAAGGTCGATTGTAAAGAGATACTTTGTGAAGCTGATTGGCAGTCTTGTTTGCATGAACCTCCATACTATACTTAAGACCTAGAGTATAGGTAAGGTGCAGGTACTAAAGCTGTACCTACATTTCGGATACTTCCGCCTATCAACGCAATGTATATCTTGCGCACCGGAGCTCACGGCATCCTGCGTCTGGCGCCAGCGGTCTCGGCTCTACTTGACGAATCTCATACCTGTGTCCAGATATGCGTCGACTTCCAGCTGGAATCTGTCATTATTACTTTTGGACGATAAAGACTAGGACATCCCACGGCTTCGTCGCACCTCTCAAATAGTCTCTGTCCTGATCCAGAGAGGCAGCTGTGATGACATCTTCGATAAGCCCACTCCCCTCCGCAATCCCCAAGACCATTCCTCGACCCAATGACTCCCAATCAAGTCAGGGCCGAACGACATCAAGCGAAATCTCGCCAAAGCCAGAACCTGAGCTTCCCAGACCCAAATTCCGTCTTCACCTGAACGATCTGCGTCATCCGGCTACGCTATCGTTCATATCCCTGGTCCCCGATGTTGCATCAACCCTCGACACCGCGCTAAAAGCCATCGTACGGCACCTCTATACACCGCCCTCACTTTCGCCAAACGAGTCGAGCAACACCCCAGCCAAGAAATGTCCCAGACCGTCCTTCACACCATGTATCCCTCCCACCCGCTCCGTGACAGTCCTCGTCCGCGATATCGGTGGAGTAGCGTACACCACCGGCATAGAGCTCGATGATGACCATAAGGAAATCCACTTGTCCCTATCATACATCAAGACCAGCGCGGAAAACAATCCAGACCCTGCAGCCGAAATCACCGGTGTCTTGACCCATGAGCTGGTCCATTGCTACCAGCATACAGCGCCGAAGGGGGATGAAAATGCCTCTGTGCCTCGTCCTCCGGGTGGCTTGATCGAAGGTATTGCCGATTTTGTTCGTCTGAAAGCGGGCCTTCAGCCTCCACATTGGAAGCGACCAACATCTGCTAAGGAACGACCGTCAAAGTGGGATCAGGGCTATCAACACACGGCGTACTTTCTGGCGTGGTTGGAGGATGTGCGGGTCGGGAAAGGTGCTGTTGGTATGCTGAACGACAGATTGCTGAGGATCGGATACGTAGGCGAGGAGTCGGAGTCTGGAAATCAAGACATACAGAGCTTCTGGAGGGGCCTGTTCGGGAAGGGCATTTCGGATCTCTGGGAAGAATACGGCGAATATTTAGATCGCTCTAGGAATAGTGGTAACTGGGAGGACGAGATCATCAATCCCGAGTAACGTGAAGTGCTTTAGAAAGATAGGTACACACTCGAGGTCCTCCCCGGAGAAGGAATAGTAGTACTAGGTACTGATGCCTCGATTTCTGTTCAGTAACATTTCAGACTTGAGTCTATCGGGTACTTCTATATGCTGATACCGGCTAATGTAAGTATCCATTTCCTACCCACATTGTGTTCCGATGTCCAACCTCTGGAGGCGAAGAGAGAATCGGGAGATTTGACCAAAACAATGACACGACAACAAAAAAAAGAAACAAAATGGGAAAGACATGGAACGAATAGAATAGATTTGACCGTACTGTACAACACCTGATCTTGCAAACAAGTAGTAAGGAGAAGATTGTCGAACTGTCCCTTGGATAGTCATTTATGTCAAAATAATACATCACCATCGCGACATTGGCATCGGATTGTTTTCCAGTCTATCTTACACGATCACCTCGCCCAAGTCGACATAAACAGGCTTCCAGGGCGCAGCGCCCTCTTCTTCCATCGAGCTGGGCACACGAACATTCAGCGGGCTGTACAAATACCAGCCCTTGAGGGCGGCCACAGCAGCCCTCGATCGGGCCTCCATCAGACTGGCGCCAGCGCCTTCGCCCAACTTATCCTGACCAGAGTAGATACCGACAACAAAGACAGGGTGTCTGCTCTTACGACCAGTTTCACTGATGATTTTGGCGACAGGGCGTTCGAAGTTCTCTCGCGCACACAACCGGGTGAGGTCACGAGCCGGTTGGGAGAAATTGAACAACTCGGAGATGTTGAGGTGTCGTGACAGGATGTGCTGCTCAAAGAAACGCTTGGCAGCAGGGCGGCCAGCATGCAGATAGATGGCGCCCATGACGGCGCGCACGAAGGTAGCACTGGCTTGTTCGGCCGTGACGCCTTGAGCGTCGTGGGATTCAGCGACAGCCTGGGCCGCTGAGTCGGCGACTTCCTTGACCGGATCACCGAACTCGTTATCGTAGACAACTCTGGACGTAATCGACTTCCGCCATGACTTCCGATGGTCGTTGGGCCTTGCTGTACCTGTGACTGGTTCTGCATTAAGATCCGTGCCGGGAGAGACCCTCCTGAACTGCAGAAGGCCAGGGTCAACCTCTCCTCCAGGGGCGACAGCCATCTCGACACCCCATTCCCTAGCCATTGCGGAAAGTGTTTTCGGTCCGACATACGCATACATGGCCGCAAAGATTACAGTCAGAGGAAGTCGGGGATATGTGCATATGAGGTGTTCTGAGGTGTAGTTCGTGAGAAGGTCATGGCCCAACGTAGCCAGCGATTCATTGTTGAAATCTGGATTCGGATCCGCTGAAGAGTCCACCAGTGCGCGAGCTAGTGTTTCTAGGGGTAATCGAGAGGGGAGGTAAAGTCGTGCATGGAGCGCGGCAAGTTTTGCGGACTCGCGTGCGGCTTCCACCGGGGGAGAAGGGAGGAGGTATCTCGACTGTCGTGAGTTGGAAGGAGGAATTGGCGAACGCAAAGATTGCTCTTCAATCAGCTGGTGTTCTTCGGCTTGAAGAACAGGCGAAGATGTCGATTGATACCGTAAACTAGCACATAGACGCTGGTGCAAGCGGCCGTTAGTTCGTGCCCGTGGTGAAAGGACCGAACTGCTCCATCGAAGGAGCTGCAGCCTTTTCATCTGGACAAATGTATTATCCCCGAGGGGCTTGAGCCAGCAGAAACCAAAAAAAAACGGTATGTCCGTCCAGAAAAATGCGGCGCAGGGATATGGGGAAATCCAGACTGCTCAAGTATATCGGGCATGCGAACTTTTGATCGCTGGAGAAAAGTTGAGCTCAGCGGAAGTCACGGGATCGGGTGATCGTGTGCTGGCGCTAAGTCATTTTTGGTGCTAGCGTCACGGCTTCTCTGGACGAGGGACGTCGATGGTCAAGTCGGCTTCAACCAGCCTGAATATAGCGCTTTTTCCGCAAGCCATTGTCAAACCGTTTATTCGTCCATTAATTTACCTCTCTACAGGAAAAGATGGGTGGAGGTGGAAAGATCCCGTATGTGCTTGATTCTACCGTGATGCGGTACGATGTTGCTACAGTTGGCTAACCCATCCACCTCGCAGGTACCCCAAGGAAGTCTGGTCTCCAGCTGGAGGCTGGTATGCCCAGCCTGCAAACTGGCGAGTCAACACTGCTATCATGGGCGCTGCCATGCTTGGTATTATCGCGGTTACCTGGAGCATCAGTGCCGAGCGTGAACATCGGGACAGAATGCCAGAGCCCGGCAGATTCTTCCCCAGTCGCTAGTCAGTGGACAACCCTCCCCTTGTCCATAGTGCGGAAATCGCATGCTGATGATACAATTTCCTACACCAGCTGGAGCAAGCAAATCATCGAACACGAGAAGCAGCAAGCTACCAATCAATAAAAGCGCGTTGGTGGGAAGAGAAGTGGAAACGAGGGAAGAGTTCTATGGCATGATTGGTATTTGTTTCATCTATTTGCGGGCTGTACGACAATAAAGGGCGTTCTCCAATCGGTCAGTTGTTTCGAGAAGTGCTTTCGGGGAGACTCTTCGAATGTTCGATACAATCTCTGCGTGTACAGACGGACTCGTTCCGTGAATTCAGTTCCATTCCACAGGTCCTTCCCCTCGCTTGATATGGTTATACGGGGCACGCCAATTTGTTCAACCACAAAGCCTGCAGCGACAGTGGCACATATCAAGGCCACCAGCATATCTCTCTGCTTTATCGATGCCTTCGTGATAGTCTGCCAATTTCCACACTTCGAAAGCACGGAGGTAATGATCATGCCTGGATCTCTTTCTGAACTGATGAGGCCTTGTGCCAGAGCCCCCAGAAACGAATTGCCAGCTCCCGTAGGATCCACGACAGCTGTAGCCCCAGAAGTGCCAGGCTGATGGTAAGCGGGGAGCCAAATCCTCTCTTTCCTTGAAAACGTGTAGCTACCGTCTTTTCCTGCTCTAATTACCAAATGACCTTCGCCTTCAGGCCCGATGCCTGACGTGAGGATCCTAGTAACGACATCGCGACCGAACTCGCTATCCTCGGTCCACCCGGGCTGGCCGAACATCATGCCCAGCTCCAACTCGTTTGGGCTGACCACATCGACTACTCGAGCTGCTGCCAAAAATTTATCTTGTTCTTCCGGTGTGCATAGATCAGGCACAGGCTCCCAGATGAAGATCGGTCTTTCCGTGGCGCCAATGGCGGAAGGGGCCTTGCCCTCTTTCCGCAAATCGTCACGTCTGCGTAGAATATCTTCAACGATGGTTATGCAACGAGAAGAAGAGCAGACCATATGGAATGTCTTTGAGAAAACCTGGGAGTCAGAGAGCATTGAAGGCTCAAGTCTCAATTTAGGTGTCAGATATTTGAAATCTATTCCGTATTATTATCATCTCTTATTTTGTGTTGCAGAACGAGAGGATATACTAACCTCGCTTTTCATTCGGCCCATATCCATTCCAAGCTCTAGTGGTCAGTCTCCCAGAATCCTCTCTGATAAGACAATTGGTATTCCATGACTTGATGACGAATAGAACTTCGGTAGGAAAATCTGAGCCAACGTCCACAATCCAGCTTACGGAGCTTGAGTGTTTCTTCCCAGCGACAAGGCGGGCACCGATTACAGCATAAGAGGCTGCACCACCAATGATACTTTTCACATTGGGTCTAGATCCTCCAAAGTCGATATCATCTATGTGAGTAAGCATCTGATGTGATGTAGCATTAATCCGGCAATGGCCGTGCAATGATAGCATACCGAGGATGAACATGCCCAGAGTGCAGAACTCGACATTGCCCTCAACCTGACTATCCGTGCTCATACTTTGTATTTTAACTAAATACTGAGCTCAACACCTATCTGTATCCAGACAAAAAGTCGAACTGTACTAGGTATGTCGCTCATCCTCAAGTGGGGAATCAGAGGAGAGCTCAGTGATAAGGATAACATACTTATGAGGGTTGGTAATATAATACAAATTTATACACACAACGTCATGTTTAACTGTGCAACACCTTAACTTTACGTGTACTGTATCGTAAGCCCCATTGAGTGGAGCTTGCGGCCTCAGGAAGAAACGGGTCAGGAGCCATCTCATCATCGTCTGGACTCTGGAACTCGACACCGTTGCAGGAATCAGGCATTCTCAGGTGGTTGCTCCGAGGTTGAAGTTACTCGCCCTTTGTCTATCATCGCTGTATTACTGCTTTTAGCGAAAGCAAGGGCAGCAGAGAATCGAGCCCTTAAAGCTCAAACTTGTTCTTCCTAGTTTCATTGGCCTTGCTTCGCCAGGGGTTTGGTCTTCAAGATGGCAACCAACAACCATATGCATAATCTGACTACTCTTATCAAGCGGTATGTACCTGAAGAAATTCGCCGAAGCTTGAGCAATAAGCTCAGCTCAATCTCTCATGATTTATCTTCTAGCATTTGCTTGCATATTCCGTTTCACTGACAATGTATACTTCTCGACAGGCTGGAAGCCGCGACCTCCCGTCTGGAGGACATGGCTATGTCGCTGGATGACCCTCACTCGCCGAAACACGTCGGAAGTGCAGCAGCTACTCCTGAACCTGCAGCGCCTGTTCCAGTGAATACAGTTGCTCCCCCAGCGCCTCCCGCCGCCCCTTCGCTTCCGCCTCAAATAGAAGACTTCGATGCATTGATCAATGGGGATGTGCGAAGCTTCGTGGATCTCGGTGAGAAGATCGGTGGTCTTGTTGCAGAGCAGGTGAGCAACTTGAGCTTAGGGCTTCCTCCATGTGTCCGTCTCTGACTTCTTCGACAGTCCAAGGCTGTTCTTCAAGCTTTCGAAGCCGAGCGCACCTACCTTTACGTCTCGACAAAGGCGAGAAAGCCCGAACCTCAGCCTCCCGAGCTTATGACTGAGCTCCACAATGCTTCTGATACCATCAATAACATCCGCGAGTCAAACAGAGCCTCCCCTCTCTTTAATCACCTTAGCGCTGTCGCGGAAGGCATTGTTGCTTTGGGCTGGTTCTTT